GGGGCGGTGGGGGCCGCGACACGATGCCAGCCGGGCAGAGGTCCTCCTCCTTCTCGCACACCCGGACCCCCCCGGCACCCTCGGCAGGGACAGAGGAGGGGACACCGGGGGCCTTGCTGCAGCAGAGGTCCTCCTCCTTCTCGGCCCCCTCGGTGCAGCCCACCCGGGGGTTTTCAGGCCCCGCTGAGCCGTGCGGTCCCAGGGCCGGAGGGGATGGCAACCAGCTGTGGTACCAGGGCGTCCCGCTCTCCTTCCCCTCTAGCTCTGTGCCCGCCGTCCCAAGCATGGACTACCAGCATGCTGCTGCTTATCCCAGCCCAGCCGGCCACTTTGTGGCCCACGGTCAAAACCACCAGCCCAATGGCAGGAGTGCGAGGCCCGGGAAAAAAAAACTGGCCTCCCGTGGGCTGACAGCTCCGGATGCTCCACAGCCGCTTTTCCCGGAGGGCGTGAGCGGCCCGCGGTCGGATGCCGGGCACCCGGAGGGCTCCAGCACAGCAAAGGTGAAGCTGCCCTGCCAGACCCTCCTTCCGCAGCCGGAGCAAGGGCCATCAGCAGCAGAGCTGAAGCTGGAGGCACTGACCCAGCGCCTGGAGCAGGAGATGGATGCGCGGCCGAAGGCCGATTACTTTGGTAAGGAGGCAGTCCGCCAGCTGGCGTGAAGAGGGTTTGCCCCTGCAGGGTTGCGTTTGCCTGTGTGCCTGCTTGGTTGTGCTTTTTCAGTTGCTCGGGGGGGTTTTTTGTTGTTATTTGACTTTTATTTATCACAGGCATTGGAGCCTTTTCCTCCTGCGACACTTTTTTCTTTAATCCTAGCTCTTAAATTTTAAAGCATAGGTAGTTTAGCAGCTTTGGGGAGGGCAGCGCTGAGAAGAAGCTGGAGCAGCATCTTTTGAAGTGCCCTTCGTTGCCGGCTGGGAGGCATTTAACTTTTCTTGACAGTACTCCTGGTTCTTCGTGTCTTAAAAGTACATTGCCCAGCCACGTGTGGGTGGGAAGGCAGCCGTCCAGCCCGCGGAGGGGTCGCGCCCGTGTACGCTGCGGGCACGGAGAAGGGCACAGAGCTCGGGGGAGGCTTGATGGTACCCCCCACATAGGTGGCCACGGTCGGGTGTGCTTGCAGGGTTGATGGTTGGACTTGATGATCTTAAAGGTCTTTTCCAGCCTTAATGACTCTGCGATTCTGTGATCTCTTGAAGAGGAGTTGCTTGGGGATGGGAAGGGTGGTGGCTGCCCAAACTTGCCAGGATTTCCCCCCTGCCCCCAGGTGCTGGTCCCCATCAGCTGTGAAAGGATTGGTGCATCCTGAAGGTGTCAGAAAAACAGGCAGTAGGCACATTTCTCCCTAAATCTTGGGTCTGCACATAGACCAGACCACCACCAGTGGTTATTGCTGGCGCTTGGCAGTGAAAAGGGACTGCTTACACGCGAGGATCTCCCAAAGAGCATATTAAATGTCCTGCTGGATTAAACCAATTTACTACCCCAGGATGGCAGAAGCTCAGGGGCAAATCGTGCATTTCCTTTCCCTGCTGCGCCACTTCGCAGTTTAATAGCAGATGAGATAGTTCAGCTTTTGGGAGAAAGAAACCTGAAGTTGCTGGGAAGGCTGAGAACTCTGCGATTAATTTGATGAATGACGGGAGCGGGTCTAGTATATGGATTTTCCTCATGATTTTAGACCCACAGTCACAGAAACAGGGACAGGTTAAATTCTTCAGCCTGCTTGCAGAGGAAGGGTTTGCATCTCAGGCTGCACAGGTGCCATTGCATGGGGTCCTGTCCGGTTGGGGTCGGTGGGTGGCTCTGTGGTCGTCTGTGCACGCAGGAGCAGCCGTGGGCTTCACACCAAGCTTCGGGGATATAGCTGGAGGGATCACCGAGTGCTCACTCGCAAATTGGGTAACAAAATGTGTTTCTTGGCATCAGGTGGTGGTACTTGCCCACAGAGGACTGTGCTGGGATTGTTTATCTTAGTATCTGAGACTGGGTTCAGCCTTGTGGCAGGGCAGATGCATTTTTATTCTGCCGCAGAAACGTGATGTGTCAAGTCGCTGTACTTGGAGCGTTCCGGCCTGGGAATGCGATTCGGCACTTTCCATCCCACGTGGGGAGCGCACGGTTTGAATGAGCCCAGGGAGCCTCGTCTGGGGGGGCTGAATGCCATGACGAGGAGCTGGTAACGAAGGTGGAGTTGGGACAACAGTCTTGTGGGAGGCCGTGCTCGAAAATGGGAATATTTTGCTGGAGGCAGCATTCAGCTCCACTGGAGAGATGTCAGGGGAGACAGACCCTGCTGCGTACGTCTTCTCCTCACAGTGCAAGTAAACCAGCTGGATCGTACCTGGTCCAAAATGTGCATGGGGATGGGGTGAGGAAGCAGAGGGACCTAGTTGGTGCTTAGATTATTTTTACGTTTTTGTCACAAAATGGAGGGTAGCGCCAAGGGGAGGCTTTGGTCCTGCGGGAAATTTGTAGCAAAGCAGGAGTAATTCTGGCAGTGTGGAGAATCCTGCTGGTCAGGCGGCTGAGTTACTGGTGAGCCCTGGTGAGAGGGGGGAGGTGGAGGCTGTCTGATGCCCAGGGAGGTCTTTTGCCATCGTCCTGGCAGGAGGTTTTACACCAAGGAGTAGTGTCTGAGAAATTTGGGAAGGAGGAGAGGAAGAGGGAAAAATGAAACAATGTAGTCATGGCAGAGGAAGAAGTAAAGATTTGTGGAGCCTCAGCTCTATGAGGGAATGCTCATCAGATCTGCCCTGAGGAGGACCAAGGAGCAGGAAGGGGCAAGTACCAATGTATGTTAATTCTGGGGCTTGTCCTCCTACTTTCTTTCTCACTTTTATTTTCATTTTTTCACAGTTACCTTGCTTCCTTTGGCGGAATAAAGAACCTAGCTGATCTTCTGAATCTATCTTTGCTATGCCCTATCCTCAAGCTAGCAAACTTTAGGATGGAAAAAAAATACTCTTATGCAATAATGATAAAAAGGATCAACAGTTTGTTTTGTTGCAGACTTTCCCCCAGTGAAGGGAAGTCTAATGCAGCAACTTTGCAGTATACTGGAGCCAGGAAATGAAACCACTGAAGTGCAAGTGACCAAAGTATTTTATCGAAAATGCTTTTCTCCTAATTTTGGGTGCTGCTTTTGTAACAAGGGGATTTTTTTTAAGATGGGTCTGTCTTGATAATATACAGTCCTTCAGTCTGCCTTGGTCCACATATTTATCATGAACAATTAATCATGATCACAGTAAAGTAAGGAGCTGCTCTTTCCTTCACTATGTGAAAATGTTTGTGAGAGCCTAGGAAAGGATAAGCTAGGGACTAGGCATAACATAGGTAGGATGCTCTTCTGAGGAGTAACACAGTCTGGTAATCTGTCAGCACCAGCTTGCTGTACAAAATACTTTTGTCTGCTCAGAGTATGTGTAAAAAGTTAAAGGAAAGAAGCAAACAATTTTCTCTCTCTCTTTTTTTTTTTTTTTTTTTAAATAGTGGCCTATGTGTGAGCAGCATAGGCTGCACGTGTCTCTGGAGGAATTTGGGTTCTCCAAGAGTGCTTTTGAAGTGCTCACTTGATTTATGTGGGTTGTCGAGGAGGACATAGGGAGTCTCAGGTATCACCCAGGTCTTAAGCCTGGAGAGGGAAATCCTGAAATTGCTCCCTGGAGAGGCTGGTCCTCACGGAGCAGAGAAGGGGCCCCACGTCCCTGGAAGCCAGCTTAGGTTGTGGTCAGGTTTTTGGTTCACCATTTCCAGGGAACATCCAGGGGTTAGGTGCCTGAATCCCACTGGTTTTCTGTGGTGTTCCTTTGGATGCAGCAGCCTTCATCTCCACTTGGCAAATGGGAAGATTAATTAAATAGGAGTGAATGGGGGAGCTGCAACTCCCCCGCTAGCAGCACCCAGCGCAGTGCAGATGTTTCGGGTTAGGTGAGGCGGCACCATCCTGAGGACCGGTGCTGGATGAGTTTTCAGGTGAGGGCCAGGCAGGTACAGAACCAAACTGAGCGTCTGCCGGCGCTGCCTGGAAGTGGCTTGGTAGGGGAGAGGCCTGGCTGAGGGGTGGCGGGGTCTGCAGAGGGGTTTTACCATTCATTTTAGCAGTTCCTTGGTCTGCAGGCACAGATGAGTGCTTTTAGAGGCGTAACGTGTAGCATCGTGTTTTTACCAGTGCTTATTTCATACAGCTAGATGGAAGTCTCCATCTGATGAAGACTATCTACACCCGTACCAAGAGTTTTGGGTTTTTTTAATTTTTATACATTATTTTCTTCCTATAAATATTTGTCAGGTGTTGAGTTCTGGCTTCCTTATTATTTGGAGCAGAGCTGATAAGCTGCAGGTATTTTGGGAGGGCCCCAGGCATCTTGTTTTGCAGCAAAATACTGGGATGCTTCCCAGCAGTCGGGCAGAGAAGATCTCGTAGCGAAGTCTGCAGATTTTTTCCTCTTGGCAGAAGCGGAGCAGTAGCCGAATTGCTGAACCCTGTGGAGACCTGGGGGCCTGAGCACCTTTGAATGGGTGTGATCAGCTCAAAGGTGCATAGTGAAGCTAGTGTTTTACCACAGTTTACCGCCAAAACCACAGTTCATTTAACTTCAAGGCTGTATATACCTGTGGACTTTATATCTAGCCCTGCTGCTGCACCAGGATGCTTCGGCAGCAACGAGAGTAATTTCAGGGCTGCCAAGCAGAGAATTTCTGGTTAAAATGAAAGTTTTTCTGAAGTTTTGTTTTGCACATGGGTGATGATAACGGCATTATTTCCACTGGGAATGAGCAGAGGCATTCTGCTCCTGGGAGAACACCGTGGCTGGAAGGAGATGCCTGCCTGCAGCGGAGAGGAGGGGGAGGCAGGGTGAGGTGGGTCCTGGTGGAACAAGGAAAGCTGGAAGGATCACGGTGCGTGGATTAGTGGGTGTGTGCAGGTTGCAAAGCTTATCTCACTGCAAGGAACCAAGCAAATAAGTATTTGCCTGGGATACAGCTCTTCAAGATTACAGCAGTATGCGCTTCTCCTCCCTTCCTCTTGGGAGCTCAGCTGGGTTTGCAAGCTAAGGAAAAATCTACCAAAAGGAAAGAAAAAGGAAGGAGCTGAGGCAGAGGAGCAATAGGTCGTTCAGCCAGGATACTGTGGCAGTGGGGACTGAAAGGAATAAGGAGCCTCATTCATGTGGCACTGGAGTTAACATAATCTCTGACATCACTATAAGGTACTTAGAATGTCACTGACATGAGTTTGATGGCATTTTTCTACTTTGCTGGCAGTGTGTACGTGACTGTCTACAGCAAAGTCAGGGGTCAATAACATGGCATGCAAAAACAGTATAGAAAAACTGCATTTACCAACTCTGTAGTTCTTTGGGCAGGGAGTACCTGTACATCTTTGCTACTATTGAGTGACAACCCAGTCACCCAGTGGTGAATGGGACCAAACTGCCAGGTTTTCCAGGCACTTGATCTCACATGAGCCTCCAGATCTCCCTTGAAATCAACTCTCCAGCAAGAGCGATTGTGCACTAGTGGATAACAGCGTACTGGAGGCAGGCAATGTGTCTAAATTAGAGTTTGATGTGGAAATGACTTGGTTAAGGTGAGCCACGGGGAGGCAGCATCAGGTTCTGGAGAAG